GTTCAAGGACACGGCTCTGACTAACACGGAGAAGCGCAAGGAAGATAAAGTGGGATTTCTGAAGCCCACATTACCCTTTGAAGCCTTGCAGGTGGCAGCAGCAGTGCTTCCCTTTCCTTTGGCACTAGACTTTGCTCTGGCAGAAAGGTAAATCAATGCTATCATGCATAGAAATCTCAAAATAAATGCTCGAAAATTGCAATATTAACATTTCAGAATCTGAAAGAATATCATTTAAAATGGTTCCCTTTTAACAAAAGATAAATCAAGCCTGATCATTAAAAAGAAAAATTTGAAACACAAGATAAGCTGTCAGTGTTGTGTCTTTTTTTATAGTGAACTTCAGTCCTTTTGTGTCATTTTAATCCAGACATAGGAATGATCAGAACAACTGTAGCTAAGACAAACAGTAAAAACCAATTTAATTGATTTTTATTGTTCAAGCTGTAAAATGACAGCAATATACAGAAAATGTGGAGATGTTTTGAAATTCCAATTCAAATAATAGGAAGTCACTAGTGAAGTGCTTTAAGGCAGGCAAAACATGGTGCTGCATTTTTAAATTCGATTCATCAGCACAAATAATTTAGGGGCTTTATGGAAAGTACAGAATTGAAATAAAACGGTAATTTTCTTTCAATTCTGTGCTTTCCCTGCATCCCCTAAAAGTAAAACACACCTTGAATTTAGCAGAAGACTAGCAATTCGGGGGAAATATGGGAAAACAGCAAAATATTCTTTACATTTGAATAAAAGCGTAACAAACAGGGAGCCAAACAAGAGTGTTCTCGGGGTGACACCACAACCTGGCCCGTGCCGCAGAGCACGGCACCAGCAGCCGCAGGCTCTCGGCCCTGCAGCAGGAGACGATCCCTGGAGAAGGACACACGAAAACCGAGCACTAAGGTGCGCGGAGGTTAAAGCACGAGCTTTCCCAGCAGCCAGCCTGGGATACGTAAAGCACGCTGCTTCTACATTAAAATTCACGTGCTTTTCCTCCCTTAGGAGCCACGTCCTCAACAGCCCCTTCCTTTTAAAAAGCTGCCGTGTGGAAAGCACACAGTTGCGGCGAACGAGCCCCAACCTTTCGGTGTTCAGGAGCGCCGGGGAGCACCACAGCTCCCCAGTGCGCGCGGGTCTCGTGCCTTCAGTGTTCCCGGCTGGGCCCGAGCGATCCCAGAAAGCTGCCCGGATCACGGAGGTGGAATGCAGGAGCACCTGCGGAACGCAGCGCGAGCGGCCACGAGCTCCGCACGCCCCGCCGGGCTCCCTCTTAGTCACGCACGCGCTGGAAAGCCAAGCACAGAGCATCGCGTCTTTTTCTCTTCCCCACGGGTCTCTGTGGGAGGCTGGTTCAGGGCTCCTTTGGGCACTGGGGCAGAGGCAGCTCCAGGCGGCCTCGGCCAGGCCGCGCTCCCCTCTGCGGGCCCGGAGTCGCGCTGGGCTCCAGGTCTTTACAGGGACATTTCCCTTGGGCCCTCCAACTCGCCTCTCCCGGCAGGCTCATCCCTCTCTCCCTCGGCACATTCATCCCTCCCATTTCACCAGGTTCCCTGCAGAGCACCTGGGAGGTGGCTGTGACAGGAAGCCGATCTCAGGGAGCAGCTCTCTGCCCCACAGATCACCCCGCTCCAAGCTCCTGGAACAGGCTCAAAGCGACCCATGCTCTTCTCCACCATGGCTGAATTAACATGAAGATAAACAGGAGACATACTGTGAACATCCTAACGTCTCCTGAAGTGAAATATTATTTGAGTTATTCAGTTGAGGGCAGAAAACATTTTGTTAAGAAGACTTAGCAACACAGGGCTGTTGTCCCAGTAAGACCCCTAATACAATATTACAATAAAACATAAACACTGTGCCCTTTCCCCAAATAATCCACAACTGCCAAATCAGAAATCCATTACGATGTATATCTCTACCCTGAATTTAAACTGAGGAATCTCATATACAGTTTGTTGAGAACAAATCACCTCTTCATCTTGGTTTGGGGGATTCCTTCTAGCTTCGTAACACCCTCTGATGGTGAGACGAGAGGTGGAACACATTTAAAGATCGGTGCTTCAGAGAAAAGTGCTTTTGGTTGCATTCTTAATCTTACCATAAGGTTTCAGTCCTGAATTATAAAAAATTAGCATGATTAGCAAAAGGCAATTATTATTCTTCCTTTCTTTAAAAAAAAAAAAAAAAAGTATTTTGAAAGAGGACCTAAAAACTCTTTTTTTCCCACTATGAAAGTATTCAATAGCTGAAGTCCCTCTATTGCCTCTCAAAGAGATTCCTCAACTGTGCCAAACAGGACAGGGAACATTAGACCTGGGATTCAAATTAGCTGTCAACCAACACCAGCATCAATCTGAATTAACAGCACAATGTGAAATGAATTCTCATCCCGCCCCTGGCAATAACAACAGTTTTACTCACATTGTAACAATATTTAAAATAGCTCTGCAACTTTGTTTCTTTACCAGACAACAGAAAATAAGGTTAAATGAAAAACTCGACACGTTTTTAGACAAGAGAAACTGTCTAAACTACTGACATTTTTCATCTTCATATTTTAATCCAAAAGATTTGTACAGCATTTTTTTTAATAACTTACAGCATCAAAAGGAAAATAAATGCATAGCGTCAATACCTTAGAATATAATCTCCCCTTGTCGCAGAAGAGTTCAAAGTCATAAAGTGCTGTAGATAGGAACATATATCAGACAAATCATCCAGCAACTAACTTATTGTTCTGGTTTATTCAGCAATATTCCAAGCTTAGGACATTAAATAAAAACCTCACAGACAATGGGTAGGACCAACAATGGCTTTGCCTTTTTTTTTTTTTTTAAGAATGCTGAGACATATCAATTGAGCCAACTACAGCTTTATTTTGGATACCAAAAAATAAAAAAGAAGCTCGAATGAAGAGACTAGCGCCCTGCCCTGGCCTCGGAAAAGCCGCGCCAGGGGATGAACCACCTGGATTCAGCCCTAGGGCCACGAGGGAGGAAACGGGACGCGGCTCCTGCCGGGGAGCTGAGCTGGGTGCTCCGTCCGCTCCGGGATTTTCTGCTTTGGTTGCGGTTCTACAGGTCGGCAGCACAAGGGAAGATCCGCGCGCCTCGTCCCGGAGCGGAGGCGGCCGAAGGGGGCAGAGCTGCCGACAGCTCCTCTCCGCGGGCGCCCAGGGCGAGGGGCTTCGCGAGCACCAGCGGGAACTCTAAGGACATAAAAAGGGACCCGCTCCCCATTGCTCCGAGGCTGGGCAGGAAAATCCAAGCTTTCTGGCGGCCAAATCGGCTCGAACTCTTTTTTTTTTCCTGAGCTTGGACTTGCCAGGTGGTTCACTGCTATTATCTTCACTGCTCCTTTATTTTAAAATGCATCCTTCCCTACCCACATGCGCCGGCAAAAGAAAATAGAGAGGCCTCAAACTTGTAAGAGAAATTAAAGCAAAATGCAACCCAGCAGTTTGGTAATAGAGTAGATTCCACCATAATTCTCATTTTCCTGTGCTCCTTCTGGCTAGGCCTTTTCTATAACCAAACATCAGGGAAAACCAGATGATGAGAAAACTTCAAATTTTCTCCCATAGAATAATAATGACCGGTCTCCAACAGATCTCGCTCCCCAAAAGTTGTGCTTAACATAACCGCAGACCCTTAACACAAATATGCAAAATCGCTCTTAGGCTTTTGCACTGCCAGGACACCTAAGACACATGCGCATGTTTGTGCTTAACAATGTAACCTGCGAGACCGACGCAATTTTCAGTCAATTCTTTGCAACTAAGCACCAAATTTCGACAGTTTTATCATTATAAGTACCTGAACACCTTTATAAACTAATGGGAAATACTGTCATTTAAGTCATTTAATTCAATCCCAGCCAGCTCTAGTTGGGAAATTTTTGAGAGGGGGTAGACACAAATTATATATAGAAAACCACAAGAAAACCTTGATTGCAGCTGGATAACAGCAAGAGCCGCTCTCCACACCTCCTGCAAAAGTGCTGGCTGTCGTCCTGCTCTGTGCCAGGCAGGAGCTATCATCGCGTTCACGACCTGCGGTACCTTGTAGGAGTTGGGTTTTTTTGCTAAGTTCTCCAAAGAGCTGCAATCCCGTGGGGATACAGGAACAGCAGGAGCAGGTACCATACGCACCGACTATCTGGAAGCGGTTCCCTAATGTCTGAATGGACCAAAGTCCAACCTGCAAACTGAACCCACAGAGTGACAGGAGGAAAACAAGTTTAAGTGCTAACATAATAAGAAACAAAATTTAAAGAGTCACTAAATATATGTGGGGAAATAGAGGAGTCCCCTCATTTAAATATATTTACATAATATTAAAGCTATTTATTTTACTTTTCTCTCCAACAAAATTCCCTTGCTACCCTGGGCAAAGTCCCCATTTAAATTAAAAGGTAAATACTTCATAAAATACACGCATTAAAAGAGCCATTGCCCTCGCAGGTTTTCCAACTCCTCTTTCCGTTCTTCCATTTCCACGGGGCCCGATTTCTCGGCCGCCTCCCGGAATTTCCGGTGCCGACCTCCTGCAGGAGGCTGCCCAGACCACACGAGGCTTTGCCATTTAGCTGGCAGAGCTACATGGTGATACCTGACCGAGGCGGATGCAACAAGACCGGTTTAAAAGTGTTTACACCACTTATGCCATGCTGGGAAGAAAATAAATTATCTCAGTGTAAATGCATCCACGCTGCTGCAGCCTATGCCAGCATGGCGGGATCAGTTAAAATATAAATACGTCGCTCACCTAATTGGCACAGATGTATTAGCTGATTTTTTTCTAGCATAGACCAGGCCTAAGATATGAGGTAGTGAAGAAGAAAATCAGGCTCTTTTTTTTTTTTTTAATCTATTCTATAGCATTGATACACTCTAAAAATCTTTGCTGCTCTGACCTATGGATTTTAAAAATAACGTCTTAAAATCTGAAACATAAAGCTAACACCCTAAGCCACAGTGGACTTTTATGTGGAGGCATAACTATTAAGAACTCCCTCGCTTAGGGTCTTAATTCAGGCAAATATTTTTGTTGCAGAAAGCACATAAGCACGTGTTTACGTCCCATTGAAGGAAGTGGAAATGAAGCACATGGATAAGTGCTTTCTGAAATCTGGGCCACAGGCAGAAATCACGGTCTTTGTAGAATTTATTTCCTCATTCATTTCAGTGCTGTTTAATCACAAGTCATTCATGTTTTAAGACAGTGGGAAAAACAGAGACAATGGAAGCTAAATTGAGTTTGTTACAACTGTTCAATATTTACAGCATCCGTAGCATCAAACAGAAGTATTTTTGGTAACTTAAGACAAATACCTTTTTTTTGTTTGTTTTTGAATGTACCGCGATAGTCTTGTTAAACAAACCCGCTGTCACGGATGTTAAAGAAGTTGTTGTTTACATTTACCGAGTCATTCAAATTAAAAATCTGCTCCTGTTCCAAGCCCCACTCCCCTTCGTCTTCATCTTCTGGTTCTGCCTCAGACCCATTGCGAGTGTTTTCGTACAAAAAGATCTGCTCATCCACGTGAGCCGGGGCTAACCGGTTTCTCTTAGCGCTTACAACATTGGCAGAAGAACCAAAAAGGCGCTCGGGAAAGACCCTCGTGGCCAGAATACACCAGTATTTCTGAAGAACCTTTGGTAAAACCGGGAACAGTGCTAATCTATCAGACCACCACTTTAGGGGATCCTCGTTCAAACCAAGGACCTTTTGCGACTTAAAGTTGCTCAATTCCTCCACGATCTGCGCGTGCCATTCCTCCTGGTCTTCCACGCCTCCCGTCTGGCAGAAGATCTCCGCAAGCATGTTGTTGATCACGCTGGTCGGCGGAGGGGTGGAAGAGATGATTATTTTCTTCACGGGAGGTTCTTCTGAAACTGCAAAGAACTTTTCTTCAGTCCTAAAGGTGTTTTCCTTTACTTTCTCCAACAGGCTTTTTGCTTCTTCCACCACTCTGTTTTCAACCTGCTGCCGCTCAAAGGCCGAAAGAAATGGTAGCTTTTTGTACCGAGGGTCCAGGAAAGTGGCCACGTTGAGGAACATGTCTATCTCAGGGGTGTGCTGGTAGGTGCTGGAGAGCTCTTTAGCTATTACCTCCTTGGCCATGCTGATCTCCTTCAGGTCATTCTCCTTGATGTTCAGGGTGGTGTTGAGAAGCATGTGGAGAAGCGGCTTCACCATGCTTATCGTGGGGTACTTGGAGGCGGACATCATCTCCGCAACCTGCTTGAAGGGCTGCAGGAGCTCCACGAGGCCTTCGATGGTGTTCCACTCGCTGGCCTCCAGCATGAGGTGGTGGTTGTTGCTGTCCTCCACGAGGACGGCGGCGATCACAAACTGCTGCTCCTTGAGGCGCTGCAGCATGGCGAGCGTGCTGCCCCACCAGGAGACGCGGTCGCTCACGAGCATGCAGTGCAGGCTGTTCTGCTGCTTCTGCTTCTCGCTCAGCATGTACATGGCTACCGTGGACTGCTGAAAATACTCCACCAGCTTTCGGCACCTGGCAAGAAGGCCGCACAGCTTGGGGAGCTGAAAAGCTTGTTGTATTCCTGCATTAAAAGTGTGCCCCAAACAGGGCATCTGCACTGGAATATCCAGGAGGGAGCAAGCTTTCACAATGTCTTTACCATAGTCCGTCGTGGCACCAAAGACTTTTGTATTGATCCCCCACTCAATGAAGGTCTCGTAGAGGACTCGCGTGATAGTCTCTGCAGTGTTATCCTCTGGTACTTCGAATGTCTTTAAACACCGCGAGTTAACGGCCAGGCAGTTGGCCGGGCTACTGCTGAGGAAATGAACCGCCACCGTCACGTACGACCTGTTCTGGTTCTCGCTCCTCCACATGTCCGTGGATATGCCGCACCACAGAACCTCCGTGAGCTCCTTCAGTACAATCTCCCTAATAGCATTGTATTTTTCGGGAATAGCTTTTGTACAGAAATACTTCCGGCTGGGGAGTTCATACCTGGGATCAGCCGTTCTTAGGAGGGCTTTGAAGGTGGGCTCGTCCACGATGGAGGCAGGGTACATGCCCTCGCAGATCAGGCTGATGACGGCCGACGTCAGCTCCTGGTGCTTCTTGTTCTCGTAATTCTGGTAGGTCTTCATAATTAGGTTATCTTGGACAACCTGCTGTGACGACTCTGGCTTGATTTTTGAAAAGGCAGTGGCAAAGGCTTCCCTCATCTGCTCTGTGTTACTCTTCACAAACTCGCAGAATTCGTCGGGGTGATTCTTCTCCAGGTGGTAGGAAAGGTTGGACGTGTTTCCCGAATAGGCGATCTGGGCCATGCAAATACGGCAGTAGATTTTCTTCCACTGTAATATGCATCCTTCCGCATTGGTATCAAACCCAAAGTACTTCCACACTTTACTCTTTGCTCTCGGATGAGCCACTAACTTTAGGTCTGATGGGGAACCTTCTAAACCTTTATTCTCCATTGCTTCTTGGCCACCGTTCCACCTTTTGATCCTTCACTCATTAATGAGTACCTGATAAAGGCAGTAAGATAAAGATACAATGAGAAAGCACAAGTCTGACCACGCTTAACTATCTGAAAATAGCGTTTCTGAGAATATACCAAGAAACCTACCTTACTAATTACATTTGCAAATTTAAAGATGAGATTTGCAGGAAGTGTGACCTACAAGAAGCCCATTAGAATGTCCAAAATTAAAAAGGCTTTTAATGCATGCTGCTGGGAAACTGAGCTAGAAGAGCTGAGAACACGTTGTTTCTAGAATTACATAATTCTTGGTAGAGAAAGCGCAACAACCACCACAGAGCTGATATGTTATTGTCACAAAAACGAGACAATTTACTGCAGGATCTCCCTCTCCCTTAAGTTATAGTTAGAGCTGAGTCAACATCCTCCTGTCTAAGAGTTACTGAACTCCACTATTAATATTTATTTCAAATGAAACCTGATACTGAAGGAGCAAAGGTCTTATTGTCTGTTTATTTTGAAAGAAGTTTGTTAGATTGATGCAGTTGTGATGGGGTTTGTTGTTGTTTTTTAAAAAAAAATTAAAAATACTTGTCATGCAAATCATGGCATTAAACCTGCTCCTCTGAAATTTAAAATGTTTTCTGACTGAAAGAAAAGGAAACAGCATTTGAACCCACATGCAGAGCAACAACACACATTTGAAACCTTTCCTGTCCTTCTCTTCCAGAATCAAAGCAACCTCCTGAACTACGGGTTCCCAGTCTTGGTTCCTGGAATAACAGTGCATCATAATTACAGGAAAAGGCATACAGCTAACCACTAATAAATGTTAGTAGGCACAGCAGGTAGAAAATAAATTTAATTTTTTTTCTTTCTTTCTGAAAGACTAAAGGAGCGGGGGTGGGGGCAGGCCGACATCCTCGAGCAGAGCGTGGCGATAAGGCAGGACTCGGCAATCGGTAGCTAAACATCTGCACAGGGCAGGGCTTCTTGAGCACGCAGCGCAGGGCAAGCGGCATCTGCGGCGCACAGTGTCCCTGGCTGCGGCGCGGGCAACCACGAGCCAGGGTTTATTTCTGTACACCAAGAGGGCACGAGCAACACGGCTGCGCACCGACGCGCCTCCAGCTCTGCCCACGACACCCGCCCGGCCAAGGAGGGCCACAGGGTGCGGGGAAGGCGCAGGGAAGGGCGCAGGGAGCCCCTTGTGGCGCTTGGCCGGGAGCAGGAGCCGGAGCAGGAACTGGAGGGAGCAGGAAGCCCTCGGCCCAGCGCTGCAGTGACACAAACCCCAGCGGGAGAGCAGAACAGAAACTGAAAGAGGGTTTGTGGGGCCCCTCGGAGAGCAGCGGGAGGGAGGGCCCCCTGCTTTGCTCATCCCCAGGGGTTGTGCGCACCAGAAAATCCTGGGCGAAATATTGGCTGGAAGCGGGAGGAAGAAGGAACCGGCTTCTTCAAGCTTGCTGCGGGGGAATATCCCGCAGAAGGTGACACATGGAAGTTTTTCCCAGAGGGTCTTCTGATGCTGAGGAGCATTGCAAAAAGCTCCCTCCCCAAACTATCATAGATAGTTTGCAGAATTTTGTGAATGAAAACAAACAAACAAACAAAAGCCACAGATCTACTAAGTATAAGTATAGATATATTAATTTATCATGATTACATATACTTATTTTAACAAACCTGAATGAAACACATAGCGTAAGTATTTTATTTTTTTCTGTGTTTATATCTACAAATTTATTTCTGGGTGCAGATCTTTTGGGGGGGGAGGAAAAAAAAAATGAGTCCTAGTATGCCCTCGACTGCGATTCATTCAGTGCTCTTTAGCTGTCAGTAAAAACTATTGATTCAATCTGGTAATGCTGCCTACGTCCAAAGATGAGTATATTGACAGCTCCATGGTATGAGCTCTGAGGATTTTAAAAGAGAAAGTGGCATAATACAGAGTAGCATAAAAAACACTGCTACAGCGTCCAAGTGGGCACTGACAAGATACATTGTATCAGGATGTTTCACAGTTGCTTCTGGACTCCTCCCTTCTAGGTTTAAAAGTGTCTCAGGACATACTGAGACTCCTCCTGTTTCACTAAACCTTATTGTTTCCTTTGCAATTACATCGCAGTTCCTGGAAGCAAGGTGAGAGCCACTTAGAAAAGGAAACCAAAAGGAAGAAAGAAAGAGAAAAGGTGATGTGCCTTTAACAGCTAAAATTAGTATGACACGCCTTGGATCAAGAAAAGTTCATCAAAGACCCATTTCGGAGCAAGGGAGTGTTACAGCCTCACCCCACCCCTCAGTCCCATGCACATTACAGCTTTACCATCATTTTTAGCTACATTTACTAGACTTCACATCAGTGGCACACAGTAGCTCAGGATATGTCAGCATAACCTAGCCTTGGTTTTAATGTTTAAAAACACTTCCACTGTTATAAACTACTACCTCAACATAATCTTCCTCTCCTCAAACATTATCCTGATGCCATTAAGAGAGCAGTTGCGCGATTTACCCTAGGAAGGGTAAGTTCTTCCTCTCTGGGTGAAGCCATCAGGCTGTCCAGAGCGGAGCACCCAGCTGTGAGCGAAACCAAGCGCTTCGTGCTGGGGCTGATGCAGTTCCCATTGGGAAGGAAGCAGATCCTGCCCCTGGGAAGCGCTGCAGCCCGTGGCATGGGAAGCTGACAGGAGTGCTCTCTCAGGGTGCCCAACTTCCCACTGCAAACATCTAGTGCCACTTCTGTTTGCTGAAAAGCTTCTGGCAGACAGAAGCCTTCAGGCTACAAAAGTGCCTTTCCTTTCTCTCTCTGTCTCTCGAATTTCCACCCACATTTAAATGGGGTGCAAATGCTGCAAAGTTGCTACTTCCTTTGTCTCGATCCTGCAGCTGGCCGAAACCACCAGCAAACAGAGAGCAGAGCTGAGGCTCTTTGCAGGCCGAAGGGACAGCAGCCCTGCCGGAATCCCGGGCTGGGAGCGGCTCCGAGGAAGAGGAGGCTCCTCCTGCTGCCCTCCAGCACAGGCTCCCTCTCCTCCCGGCTGACACTGCTGGCCAGGGAAGGCTGCTCTCCTGATGGGCAAGGAGGGGAGGTAACGAACCCTCTGCAGCATTTGGCTTCCCCACGACCAAAATATAAACACTGTTCTGTAAACTACCAGTTCCGTAACACTAGTAGTGTCCGAAGGCTGTCCGAGGGTGGCCCGGGTTGCGAAAGGGAGCCCTGGGCACGAGGAAAGGCGGCGCGCGCAGCCCCGCGCCCCGGCTCTGCCCCTCGCGCACGGCCCTACCGCACGGGCCCCAACTACCCGCACTGTTTCCGCAGAGCCCCTGCCTCGCTCCGCAGGGGCAACAGCAAAACTGGTATTTCCTAGCTTCTGAAACTGCCTAAGCAGCTCTCTCCTGCACGGAGGAGCAGTCTTTATCTGACACATTTTTCGCCTACTGTCAGTCCTTCCTGCTTGACCATCCCTCTGCTACCGCTGGAACTAGATGCTGTTTAACCTGGGGTCCTCGCTGCTTTAAGCAGCGAGTGATAAATCCATCATTATGCTTTAGTCACACAAATTAAAAGACCTCAACGCATGAATTAAGAGATTCTCAAATTAATATCTCATGATCCATTTCAAAAAACTTTCTACAAATTAAAATATTGATCAATTAGTTAGAAACTGGGTCAAATTAAAAACATACGTTAAGTTGAAGTCACTTTCAAGACTAAGGGTCAGTTTAAGTTCCTCAAAACTGCAGTCAACCACTACCCTCTTCAAAACCATCTTTCTGCACCTCATAGGTACAAATATAACTACTAAGACTTCAAAACTACAAAGTATGCAGCACTTAACTCTTCCCATTAGGCATTTCAATAAAATAAAATACACAGTAGAAGATAAATGCAGGAGGAAAAACCCCATGGAATTCAATTCCATGAAAACTTTTAAAATACCAGAACTATTATTATTATTAGGAGCATTTTTGCCATCAGTAAGATAACTTTCAGTGATGAAATTTTCCCATGTATATATCCTGTTGTCTTAATAAATACTAGTAATCAGTGAATTCCTAAAAGATTAAGTTTCAGCTTGTCAAAATCTGAAGATAACAAGATGCTGATATATGCAGGGATTTTTTTCCCAAGTTAATTAAGATTAAGCACTGCAAAAAAAGAAAGGAAAAAAAAAAAACCCTGCAACTTCTAATGAAACTGTTGTTTAGACCACAGAACACTAATACAACTTACATTATATATTTGCAATTACATTAACGTAATTGCTACTTTAAAAAATGTTTTAAGATATGTACCCTCTTCCCTTTCGCTGCTGCACAGTGATTTTACTTAATGATATAATCACCGATTGCAGCTCCTTTATCTTCCCTCTCTCCTTGTGTTTCAGGATTAGGATTTTGGGACAAACTTCCCACCCCTCCTGCTCTGTAGCGCTGTGGGGTTGCACCTTCAACTGAAGAGTTTTGCCTTTTCAGTTCATAGCCCAAAAGAAGTACTAAATTTTTGCACCAACTCCAGGTTTCAGAGTTCAACTTGTCCTCCTTCTCAGACAAACTTTAATCCCACCTATAAAAAACAAGTGAACCTTCGTAGGATGTGACAACACGTGTGTTAGAGCACATTGTGCCAGGAACATAAAACTATGACTAAGTTTTGGGAAAGAAGAAGACCTAATTTGGTTTACTCTTGGAGGTCCTGAAAGCCATTTCGGTGGAGGCAGGCAGATGAGCTTTCCCGGAGGAATTGGCAGCGCCTTGCGGGACAGCAGGGCGCTCGATCCCGCTCCATCTCCGCGCCAGGGCACGGGCAGGTGTGAGCCCTGTCTCTGCTCGCAAGGCGCCTTCCACACAAAGCTGCACCGGGGCCGCCAGACGCCCGGGGACTCAGAGCCCTATGGAGGCCAAGGAGACCAGCTCGGAGACACGGATCAGCTCAGCCCCGTTCCTGACTTCCAAGACCTCCCCCTCTGGAAGAGACTATGACAGTTATCATGGCAATAAAGTCGTGAGAGGCCATCGTTCAGGAAAAAAAGTGTACAGAATCTTTAATCTACATATTTCAAAGCTTTCTACATTGCTGTCCTGAAAAGTAAGTTGGTATTTTCTTACAAGAAGTTTACTGCTCGTAGGGCTTAATTAAGCCTACCGTAATCAACACTTTCACTTTCTGACATACTTTTTGTGACACTACAGT